TTTTGAAAATAAGTGTAGCCACCCTGCCCTAGCAGGAGCGGCTCTTTAGCCACTTAAGGGACGCCCACTGTCTTTTTACTGCGGGCGGGTGGCCCACTGCGCTGGATCACATACTTGTACTGCATGTGATCCAGCATTTCTGGGTATAGGGTGCTGAGCGCACGCCCCCTGCCCTCTCTGTGCTGGGATTCGGTACAGCACAAAGTAGTCAACAGGTCCCAGCCAATGATTTATGGCCAGGACCTGCTAATCAGCTTAGCGAATCACAATACAGAGCTCTGTGTTTACTAACAACATAGGGCTCTGTACACAGAGCAGAGATGTGGCTGTTTTTCATTTTCCCTGCACAGCAGGGAGAAAAACAGCCACATCTATCAGTAAAAGCAAAAGCAGCACATTACACATAGCTAGGCACACAGTTAACCCTTTGATTGCCCCTAGATGTTAACCCCTTCCCAGCCGGTGTAGTACAGTGACAGTGTACAGTATTACTGATTACTGTATTAGTGCCACTACGTGGGTTATCTTTTTGTAGTATTAAAATTTGCTTGATCTGAATCATTTTAGTGTGACAAATATGAAATATATATCAGGAAGGGGGCAAATACTTTTTCATAGCACTGTGTATATCATTGCAAATGCAGCAATCTAGGGCAGTGGGCTCCAAACTGCGACCTGCAGGACAGATACGGTCCTTTGTTTGCCCTTTTCCAGCCCCTGAGGTTTTGTTCCTCCCATTGATACAATGCACTATTCCTCCCAATGAAACCAACACCAAATGGAGCACTATTCCTTCCACTGACACCAACAATGGAGCACTATTCCTTCCACTGACACCAACAATGGGGCACTATTCCTTCCACTGACACCAACAATGGGGCACTATTCCTTCCACTGACACCAACAATGGGGCACTATTCCTTCCACTAACAGCAACAATGGGGCACTGTTCCTTCCACTAACAGCAGCAATGGGCCACTGTTCCTTCCACTAACAGCAACAGCAACAATGGGGCACTGTTCCTTGCACTAACAGCAACAATGGGCACTGTTCCTTGCACTAACACCAACAATGGGCCACTGTTCCTTGCACTAACACCAACAATGGGGCACTGTTCCTTGCACTAACACCAACAATGGGGCACTGTTCCTTGCACTAACACCAACAATGGGGCACTGTTCCTTGCACTAACACCAACAATGGGGCACACTGTTCCTTCCACTAACACCAACAATGGGGCACTTTTCCTCCTCCTGACCACAGGTGCTATGTATATTTTTCCTCCACTGACCACCAAGCCTGAAGCATTGTCTACTCATACTAGCCACAGCCTGGCCCCCTTAAAGTCAGAAGGGCAGTAAACCAGCCCTTTGCTTATAAAGTTTAGAGCCCTCCGCTTTATGGGTGGCCTGGAGTAAACGGGTTCAGTTGTCTGTTTACACCCAACTGGCCTCCGATCCAATCCACCTAGAATATTAGCCAATACAGAAAAATATCATCTGTTGCATCATTTGTTGTTAGGGTAAGGGGTTAGAGTTAAAATGATGTTAGGATTAAGGGTTGGGGTTAGGGATTAGGGTTAGGATTAGGCCTTAGGGTTTGGAATAGGGGATAATATTTTATTTATTGTCTTTTTATTATTTATTTATTCTTATTTTTTTTTTGCTAGGGTGTTAATAACAATACTACTAATAATAAATGAATGAACAAATGTAAAATAAATACACAAATAATTAAAAATAATCATAAATAATAATTAAATACAGCAAATGAATAATACGTAATAATAATGAAATAATCATTAACCCCTAACTTCAACCCCCTAACCCTAAAAAAGTAAAGAAATTATTATAATTATTATTGATAACAATAATAACTAGATTATTATTACTATTATTAAATTTTTGTTCAGCTTTGGGTGATTCTTTTTATTATTATTATTGTATTGTTAATATTAGTAATTTATTTAATATTTTTGGGGGGGGGGGTTAAAGTAAGGGTTTAATTATTTTATATTTATTCACTTATTTTATTTATTTATGTATTTATTTTACATTTATTTATTTATATATGATAAAAAAAAATTTCATTTGGTCAGAAAATCATGCTATGGAATTCAAAACGCTAAAAAAAAAAAAAACCAAAAAAATCAAAAACAAAAAACACACACACAAATCTGCCCGTGTTTAGGGGGAAAAAAAAGCTCCAGAACTTGTTTGAGCTTCAGGCCTTTGGCTTCAGGGGACTTGGAGTGGAGATTTTGGAGTGGCGTTTTGGAGTTTTGAGCTTCGAGATACAAATCGCCCAGGTGTGAATGGGGCCTAAGTGCAACCTATTTGCCAACCTCAATGTGTATGTAGTACTTACACAAAGATCCTTTATTGATTCAGTACATCAGTTTGCAAATATATGCCATAGGCAGTGAATATATTTTGTTGGATCCAAGATGGAAAGAAATTGGGAAACCATAAAACATATACAGTTTGTAACACTTTAAACACAGTAGTTTTCTCCACAGTTTATCTTCAGAGTTCATCGACTATCAACTACCAACATAGACATTACAAATTATTAATAAAGGCATCAAAACTTTTCACATCAGGTGAAAACAATGTTTCATTGTGTGGAAAACTCATACAACCAAACTGAAAATGGAATATTCTTTCATAGAAAATGTGTAACCAAAATGAATTAGGAAGAAAATGATATAATTAAAACAGATAATAAAAGAAACAAATTACGCCAAAAAAAGAGTTTCATTTAACATTTATAATGAGAAATACACTGTAACATCAGGTATTCATCTTATATTTATAATGAATTTTGAAATATATTAATTCATCTTAAATATTATATTAAATGAAATATTCCCCTGTCACAGCTTGGTGCCAGTGTTCCGAAGTCACATTTTCTTTCCATAAATAAGAGCTTTCTATTCCCCCGACAAGCCTAGTAACAAGCTCTCAAAGGACTAGGCTCTCTAAAGACCAAAGTTTCATAACTAGCAATTATTCAAAACATAATATTTCAAAAATAATTACCTGTTAATCAATCACTGTTTATACTGTACACCCTTAGTGGTTTGTCTGATGGCCTGAGTAAGTTACTGTATGTCCAACACAGCACAGCAGAAGTGGATTCAAAGAATTGCTTTTCACAACCTAGTGTGAAAAATATTACATTTTAAAAGGATTATATAATGGTTTTTGAACTTTTTTTAAGTCCAAAATTAAAAGAATATAATTTAAAGCAGCAGTACACATAAAAAAAAGAAAAAATTCTCCCTGCAAGGTAAAGGCAAAATGTGCGAGTATGTATCACATACTAGTAAATTATGAATAACTTACCTAAAAGCGAAGCCCTCCAGCAGTGCACTGTCGCTGCTGCAGAGGCTTCCATATTCACCCGGTCTTCCTTACGGGTTAGCGCGCTGCACGCTGTTTGAATGGCCGAGCCACGATGATGTCACTCTCCTCATGACGTCACCAGCTGCCAAGCATGAGAATATCTCCTAAACGGTGCATATTTAGGAGATTCATTTTACCCACAGGTAAGTTTTATTTAAAGCTTATCTTTAGGCAAATATAAATATCAGAAACTTACGAAAACTTTAAAAAAAGATTTTTATTTACATAACTAGCACATGTTACATATTACAAATTGCATGTGAAGATGAACTACTTTAACCACTTCAATTCACTTTTACCCCCTTCTTGCCCAGGCCAATTTTCAGCTTTCAGCGCTTTTGTACTTTGAATGACAATTGCGCAGTCATGCCACACTGTACCCATATGACATTTTTATCATTTTTTTCACACAAATGAAAGAGATGCTTGGAGTATATGGTTGTAGAGTCAATGAGTCAGGCAGCCCAGCTGTGTCATGTGATTAGCTGTGGCCAAATCACAGCTAAGCAAAAAAAAAAAAAAAAAAAAACCCTGAATGAATCGATTTCATTCAGGTAAATGCTTGCTTATAGCAAAGTAATTCTTTGCTATAAGCAAATTGTGTAAAAAAAAAAAAAAAATAATAATGATCACTTCCCCAAAGTAGTACAATGTTACCATGGTAACATTATACTACTTTGGTCATAGTGAAATATGAAAACAAATCTTTAAAAAAGAGAAAAAAAGTAATAAAAAATTTAAAAAAAATAATATTTTTTTTCGTACTGTCACCAGTCAGTGTCCCTGATCACCGCCATGCCAGTTATATGATGATGCTGTACTGCACTGGTGACAGTGAAAATATTTTTTTTTATTTCTTCATTTCCAAAAAATTGACAAAAAAATTACAACTTCAAAAAAACTCGCCATGTCTGTTATGAAATATGTCAGACTGTCTACTTTGCAAAAAGGGATCGTTTGGGCGATATCTGTACTGTTCTGACATTTTTGGACCTCAAGAAATTAGATTGGCTGTCAGTACTTCAGGATTGATCAATTTTCAGATATATCCCATAGTTTGTGAACTCTATAACTTCCCTACAAACTAAATAATACATCCTACCGTATATACTCGAGTATAAGCCGAGTTTTTCAGCACATTTTTTGTGCTGAAAAACGGCCCCCTCGGCTTATACTCGAGTCAACGTCTGCAGATGAGATGCCATCCCTGTCATCTGGACATACCCCCGGGATCAATCCTCGCCGCTCCCTCCCTCTCCCATGGTACACACTTACCGGTCAGATGTCTTCCTTCTCCGGCCGCTCTTCTCCTCTTCACTCGCTCGCTCGATCTTCGCGGTGCCGCTCGGCTCCTCCTCTCCAAGCTCCACCTCCTCGCCGGTGATTGGGCGCCTGTGTGCCTCTCCTGAGCTACAGTTCCGGCGGCCAATCACCGGCGAGGAGGTGGAGCTTGGAGAGGAGGAGCTGAGCGGCACAGCGAAGATCGAGCGAGTGAAGAGGAGAGCGGCCGGAGAAGGAAGACATCTGACCGGTAAGTGTGTACCATGGGAGAGGGAGGGAGCGAGCGAGCCCAGGCTGGAGCAGGGGTCACCAACGATGGGGCACTATTCCTCCCCCCACTGACACCAACGATGGGGCACTATTCCTCCCCCCACTAACACACATTGATGGGGCACTATTCTCCCCACACTGACACAAATGATGGGGCACTATTCCTCCCCCACTGACACAAATGATGGGGCACTATTCCTCCCCCACTGACACAACGATGGGGCACTATTCCTCCCCCACTGACACCAATGATGGGGCACTATTCCTCCCCCCACTGACACCAACGATGGGGCACTATTCCTCCCCCCACTGACACCAACGATGGGGCACTATTCCTCCCCCCCCACTGACACCAACGATGGGGCACTATTCCTCCCCCCTCGGCTTATACTCGAGTCAATAGTTTTTCCCAGTTTTTTGTGGTAAAATTAGGTACCTCGGCTTATACTCGAGTATATACGGTAATTAGGATTATTTTCACCAAAGACATGTAGCAGAATACATCTTGGCCTACATTTATGATGAACAATTATTTATTTACAAACTTTTATAACAGAAACAAAAAAAAAAAAACCGTGGATTTTCAAAATGTTTGGTCTTTTTTTGTTAATTTAGCAAAACATAAAAACCCCAGTGGTGATTAAATACCGCCAAAAGAAAGCTCTAGTTGTGTGAAGAAAATGATAAAGTTTTAGTTTGGGTACAATGTTGTAAGACGCGCAATTGTCATTCAAAGTGTGAGAGCGCTGAAACCTGAAAATTGGCCTGGGCAGGAAGGGGGTAAAAGTGCCCGGTATGGAAGTGATTAAGCTTCTCTTCCCCAGGGAAAATACGTTTAACGTGTGTAGCCTTTCCTCATAACTGAGATCCTTTAGTCCGCTTATTAGTTTTGTTGCCCTTTTATGGACCCTATCCAGTTCCACTACATCCTTCCTGAGGACTGGTGATCAGAACTGGATGGCATACTCAAGATGCGGCCAAAGTAGAGTTTTGTAAAGTGGTAGAATTATAGATGTATCTCTTGAGTAAATACCTTTTTTAATGCATGCTAATGGTCTGTTGGCCTTGCTTGCTGCAGCATTGCATGTTATTGCTAAGTATCATCAGCTAGGACCAGAAGAACCTTTTCCATTATTGATTCCCCTTGGGGTTCTTCTACTAGCATTCATATTTTTAGCCCCCAAGTGCATCACTTTACATTTCCCTACATTGAACATCATTTGCCTTTAGTTGCCCACTTCTTTATTTTATCGAAGTCATCTTGTAAAGTTTCAATATCCTGTTGTGACTTTATTTTCCCTGCTTAGCTTTGTATCGTCAGCAAATACCGAGATTTAAACTATTTATTCCAACCTCTATATCATTTATACACAAGTTAAACATAATTAGTCCCAGGACAGAGCCCTGGGGCACCCCATTTAAAGCTCCAGACCATTCAGAAGCTATTCTATTTATCAGTACCCTTTGGATGCCCCTCTGTAACCAGTTTCTATCCAGGAACATACACTATTGTCAATGCCAACAGAACTCAATTTGTGAATTAGAAGATTATGGGATACCGTGTCAAATGCTTTGGCAAAGTCTAGATACACTACATCCACAGGCCTCCTTTATCCAGGTTACCGTTTACTTCCTAAAATAATTTTATTAGGTTGGTTTGGCAAGAATGATCTTTCATAAACCCATGTTGGTTACTACTAATTATACTATTTTCATCAGCAAATTTTTAGATATGCTCCCTTATCATTCCCTCCAATAGTTTACAAACTATCCATGTTCGACTGACTGGCCTATAGTTTCCAGGTATATATCTCTGCCCTTTTTTGAATACTGGTACCATGTTAGCTTTCTGCCAGTCCGCTTGTCTTGATCAGAGGAAATGACCACCTGAGACTGTAATCTCAAGATCTAGCAGGCCAGTGAGAACAACTAAACAGGTGTACCCGTGTACCGGTTCTTGCAGATGCAGGAGCAGTGTGACTGCATGCAAACAGGTGGTGTGTCAGAGTCGCAGGATCTAAGGAGCCACCCGGTCTTCACCAGAGCCACTGGAGGTGTGAATGTTGCACTGTGTGGCAGCCCCCAGGTTGCAGGTCTCTAACACATCCGTGCGGACACAGTGCAACCAAATAGCATGCTGGAAGGACACAGGTATGGGCAGGATACTGTAGTAGCAATTTTGGAAACCAGGAAACTCCGGACACGGACTTCTGAGGAAAACAAGCGATTTATTAAAACAGCGCTGAATGAGGAAAGAAAAAACAGAGGGCGCACAGGCCTAGTGCATTACCATAAAAAATGTTTAATAAAAAATAAAGTAGGTGTTGTACTCACAAACGACAATATAGTCAAGGCACATCATAAAGAACAGCTGGGTCAACACTGCGCTGAGTGACAGTCCGCAATAGGGAGTGTAGACATCCAATAGGCTGACGTGTTTCGAGGACTTGCCTCTTCCTCAGAGCCTAAAACAGCGCTGTTTGACCTAACAGACGGCTCATGTTCTCATCTGCTATGTGAGTTATAGAAAACTTTGTACAAGCGTATATACCAATGATTACTCACAATGCATACATTCCTTCTTTCACTTTCTATACACTCAAAAGTCTTTCTAAACTCTGCAAAATATGACCTTGAACAGCAGCTGCAGATAAGGGTACTAGCTACAAGCTGGTACATATTACTCAGAGGAAAAAAGGGAGGAGGAGAGTTAGCTGAAAACTTTGCAAGCAGATACTGTTAGAAATGTTACAGTTTAAAGGGGAACTCTACAATATCTGGGTGCTACCACAATACTAGTAAACAAGGTAACCTACTGCAGCAAGCTAGGAGGGGACGCCAGGGGAGAGGACTCAGGAAACAAGCATGAAGTGCTGGAGACAGAGGGATGCTGATCAACGGTGCAGAGCAAGTTGGAAAGAGCTGCAGGGCAAACAACAACAGGAAACAATGCTGAGAAGGACACACACAGCAACAGGAACTGAAGGGATCCATGGACAGAATCCAAAGGGAATATAACTGCACCGCCAGAGGGAAAACATTGAGAACAAAGACAGGATCAAACAACACACAGAATATGGAAATACTCAAGTGGCAGTGAACACCACAGGAACAAACGTGTTCCAGCTTCCACATGAAAACATGTCGCTCGAACACTAACACACAGGTGCAAAGGCTTAATAATACCTAGGTTTAGGGCGAATACGTCTGGGAGGAAAGAAATTTAATCTCCAAACACGGAAAGGTTTCTTCACAGTGAGAGCTGTGAAAATGTGGATAAGACTCCCTCAAGAGTTGGTTCTGGCCAGCTCAGTGGATTGCTGTAGGAAAGTCCTGGATTCTTTCCTAGATACACAGAATATAACTGGATATAACATTTATAGGTAAAGTTGATCCAGGGAATATCCGATTGCCTCTCGGGGGATCAAGAAGGAATTTTTTTCCCCAGCAGGAGCAAATTGGATCATGCTTTGCTGGGTTTTTATGCCTTCCTCTGGATCAACTGTGGGTATAGGATTATAACTTTTTTTTTTTTCTATGGTTGAACTGGATGGACTTTTGTCTTTTTTGAGCCAGACTAACTATGTAACTATGTAATTATGAATAGGCAGGAACAAGAACAACTCTGACAGGAGACAAAACCTGGCGCCAGATCGATGTGTACAGAAGCGTGACAGCTGGTACCATTCCAGTCAGTAAGCTGTCCTTAGAAAATAGGAATAACATTCTAGCATGGACCTGGCAAAGTTCTTTGAGGATTATTGGGTGTAAGCCATCTGGTCCTGGTGATTTGTTCACATTAAAGTCTTGTTAATCTGAAAGGTTGGCTCCCCTTCCCCGCTCCCTCTGTAGACCTGCAGTGTCTCCCGCCGTCCTCCCTGCTCTGAGTTCAGCGGCGGTGGCAGCAAGGCGGTACATTCAGAGGAGGAATCCTTTCTTCCATTCCTCCTGCCCTCTTCCCTGCTGTGAGTTCAACAGCATTGGCTGCAGCAGGCAAGTACATGTAGAACAGGAGTCCACCCTGCCATTTCTCCCACCCTCCACAATGCTGAGTTAAGGTAGGGGGAAGATTATGGGGAGAAGGGGGCTGTGATGTCAGAGGGGGGATCTGTGATATGGGGGGCTGTGAGAGACAGGAACTGTGATATGGGGGAGCTGTGATATGGGTGGGTTGTGATGTGGGGGGGCTGTGAGAGGAGAAGCTGTGATATGGGGGCTGGGGGGGAGCTGTGATGTGGGGGGGCTGTGAAGTAAGAGAGAGGAGCTGTGATATGGGGGGCTGTGAAGTGAGGGGGGAGCTGTGATATAGGGGGGCTGTGAGAGGGGGGAGCTGTGATATGGGGGGCTGTGATATGAGAGGGGGAGCTGTGATATGGGGGGCTGTTAAGTGAGGGGAAGCTGTGAAATAGAGGGGTTGTGAGAGGGGGGAGCTGTGATATGGGGGGCTGTGAAGTGAGAGGGGGAGCTGTGATATGGGGGGCTGTTAAAGTGAGAGGGGGAGCTGTGATATGGGGGGCTGTGAAGTGAGAGGGGGAGCTGTGATATGGGAGCTGTGAAGTGGGGTTAGCTGTGAAATGGGAGAGGGGAGCTTGATATGGGGGGGCTGTAAAGTGAGAGGGAAGCTGTGATATTGGGAGCTGTGAAGTGAGGGGGGAGCTGTGAAATGGGGGGCTGGAGAGGGGGGATCTGTGATATGGGAGCTGGGAAGTGAGGGGGGAGCTGGAAAATGAGGGGGGCTGTGAGAGGGGGGAGCTGTGAAGTGAGAGGGGAAGCTGTGATAATGGGGGGCTGCTGTGAAGTGATGGGGGAGCTAGGAAATGGGGGCTGTGAGAGGGGGAGGCTGTGATATGGGGGGGCTGTGCTGTTAGAAGGAAAGCTGTGATATGGGGGGTGAAAGAAATTAATTAATCAAATTTATAATTCAGCACTTATATTGATGGCAAGCTTGCAAAATATTTGGTTTTTATGATTAATCATAATTAATATTAATATGTTTGAATGGTCGCCTTAAGCCGATGATATTATTTAATTCTTCAGTAATAGCTGAGACAGTAAAATATGAGTTAGTTAAGCTGAGACCAGCTAAACCAGCTGAAGACTATATTTAGGCATAGCTGGTTAAATGTCTCTAGTAGTCAAAGGGAAGTGACTCTGTTAACCATTAGCCGCCCGGGCCAATGGCTTTGGGCCGCAAAAGTGTAGGGGTGCACGCCATTTGGCGTGCTCCCGCACATGCGCAGTTTTCGCGCTTGCAGAGCTGCGCAGTGGGGCGATCTGTCACCGGCCGTGTACCTCGGACACGGGCCGATGACAGATCTAAGTACCGGCCCCCATTCCTGGTACCATGTGACCTGCTGTGACCAATCACAGCAGGTCACATGACAGTTGTATGGGATGGCTTCATTCATGCCATCCATTGTATAATAGTGCCTAGCTGTGAATGGTCACAGCTAATCACATGCACATGTCATGTGATTAGCTGTGACCAAATCACAGCTAAGCACAAAAAGAAAAAAAAAAAAAAAACTGAATGGGTAAATGCTTGCTTATAGCAAAGTAATTCTTTGCTATAAGCAAATTGTGTAAAAAAAAACAAAAAAAATACTGATCACTTCCCCAAAGTAGTACAATGTTACTATGGTAACATTGTACTACTTTGGTCATAGTAAAATAAGAAAAAAAAATCTTTAAAAAAAAAAAAAAAATGTAATAAAAATTTAAAATAATAAATAAAAATAAAAAAAAAAAATATATATATATATTTTTTTTCATACTGTCACCAGTCAGTGTCCCTGTTCACCGCCATGCCAGTTATATGGTAACGCTGTACTGCACTGGTGACAGTATGTAAAAAAAAAAAAGTGAAAATAATTTTTTTTTTAATTTTTTCATTTTCCGAAAAATTATGACAAAAAAAAACAACTTCAAAAAACTCGCCATGCCTCTTATGAAGTACGTCGGACTGTCTACTCTGCAAAAAGGGGTCATTTGGGGGATATCTGTACTGTTCTGACATTCTTGGACCTCAGAAATTAGATTGGCTGTCAGTACTTCAGGATTGATCAATATTCAGATCTATACCATAGTTTGTGAACTCTAGTTAACTAAATAATACATCCTAATTTGGGTTATTTTCACAAAGACATGTAGCAGAATACATCTCGGCCTAAATTTATGAAGAACAATTATTTTGTAAACATTTATAACAGAAACAAAGAAAAAAACGTGTTTTTATTTCAAAATGTTTGGTATTTTTTTGTTAATTTAGCAAAAAAATAAAAACCCCAGCGGTGATTAAATACCACCAAAAGAAAGCTCTAGTTGTGTGAAGAAAATTATAAAATTTTAGTTTGGGTACAATGTTGTATGACCGCGCAATTGTCATTCAAAGTGTGAGAGCGCTGAAACATGAAAAATGGCCTGGGCAGGAAGGTTTGCCCGGTATTGAAATGGTTAATGTATTTTTAATAGCATCTGTGTGTATTTAGTATAATTTACAATATTGATACATATATAGATTAGTGATTATACATTGATATGCTGTAAAGATATGTTAAGTTATATTATCATTTAAATATGAATAGCTGAGGCTTATAGTATTATGTACATCAGCATGTACCTGTCCATCAAACATCATATATATAGTGTCCCGTCTTCTATGATATTGCTTTGCTAGCAGTACTGACTTCCTTACAAGCTATGACACTCATTCGCTGCATAAAAGGTCCATAAGGGACAGTGGACAGAGACTCTCTCGCTGACACACACACACACGTCTGAGAACCTTCTGAGAGACTGCAACAGGTGCATGCTGCAAGACAAGATCGTCACTTCCGTCTATTTCCAGCTTCTTCACAAAGTCTCGAGAAGGACAAGGAGAGCATGGACATGGTGCACATGGTCAGACAGCCATGAGAATAATGGTGACTTTTCTTTAAACTTCTGCTTGATATTTCTACAGTAGTTTTATCTACATGGAACTGTTCATGATACGCTTTACATTGTTATTTTAAGCCATTGTGTGCTAAAATAAAATCACGCTTTATTTTTTATTTCAAACGGCTCTTTCATTCATAATCGCCTCAAGACACTAAAAGAAGCAATATATCTGTCTAAAATCCAACAGGGGGAGCTGTGATATGGGGGAACTGTGATGGTAGAGGGGGAGCTGTGATATGAAGGGTCTGTAATGTCAGGAGGGGGAGAGCTGTCATGTGGGGGATTGTGGTTGCAAGGGGGACTGTGATGTGAAGGAGGGCTGTGATCTAAGCGGGGGCTATAATGTTGGAGGGCTCTGATGTGAAAGGGATTTGTGATGTACGGAGGCTGTGATGGGAAAGGGGGGACTGAGGACATTAATGTAAAGGGGACTGTGATGTGAAAGACCTGAGTAATAGAAGAAAAATGAGATTTGGACTTCTGCAGAAAGAAAATGTCACCAACCGGACCTCCATGAATTTTAATTCAGTACCCCAGCTGTATGGGGTCAATGTGATTTTGACTTTGCCTTTGTACTATTTATATATTTAAAAAATGTTACACTTACAGAAATGAAAGCCAATGGGTTTGTGAAAGACAGTCTTTCCCATGAGCTTAGTTCTGTTCCAGTCATATATCAGTTAAGACCATAAGGCCCTTACACTAATGGAATATCCCTTGGATTACAAAATGTAAGCATTATATACAGTACAAGGTGTGACAATTTAATTCCTTAAGACTCTGGCGTTGCTCCATGGTGGTGACTCAAAGAGCCATTCACACTCGTGCGCGCGTTCTAACATGTTCTAACCTGCACTTGCCTGAGTCGCAGACAGGTTGACTTTTTGGAGAAGTAGAGGAAATAACATGTGTGTTTTTGCGCTGTTGGCAGAAAATGAGTGACAAGAATCTGGAGCAGCGGATTAACATCACATTTTGAATGAAAATTGTCAAAAGTGCAAGTGAAACTTTAGCTGTCTTACAATAGGCTTATGGTGAACATTCCTTGAAGAAATCAAATGTTTTTAAATGGCATAAATGGTTTAAAAAGGGGTGGGAAGATGACCACGATGATGCAAGAAGTGGGCAGCAAAAAATGCAAAGGACGGATTCAAATGTGAAAAATGAAAAGGTTGCGGGAATCTGTTTGGAGAAATAGACCAGAACTCTGGCCTAACAAGTGGATTCTCCACCACGACAAGGCTCCTGCACATGATGCATTAAGTGTTTGCGAGTTCCTGGCCCAGAACTCCAGTCTGAAACTTGACCCACCACCTTATTCCCCTGACTTAGCACTCTGCAAACTTTGGACTGTTTCCAAAATTAAAAAACTTCTTAAAAGGATATAGATTTGATGACATTCTGGACATCTAGCTGGGCAGTGTTCTGGTAAACAAATTCCAGGAATGTTTTCGGCAGTGGCACAGCCATCTAGGAAAATGCATCCTTTCACAAGGGGACTACTTTGAAGGTGAGAACAGCCGCTAGGGTATTGGTAAGCAAATATTGTTTTTTTTTACAGCCCATTCCTGGTATTAAGTTGTCACACCACATACATTGTACAGTTTGTTATTAATAAATTTAAGGCTTGAGAAATATATCTTGTCCGCATTTACAAAAGCTTATGTTTTCCCAAACATACATTTTTTCGGTTGTAATGCTGCTTCATGTGAACTCCGTGATATTTCCTAATAAATACATTTACACTTACAAGCCACTTTATTAGGTACACCTTGCTAGTGCCAAGAAAATATCCCCCACACCATTACACCACTACCAGCCTGAATGGTTGATACAAGGCAGGATGGATCCATGCTTTCATGTTGTTTCACCAAATTCTGACCCTACCATCTGAATATCGCAGCAACCAGTCTGCCCATTCTCCTCTGACATCAACAAGGCATTTTCCTCCACACAACTGCCGCTCACTGGATATTTTCTCTGTTTTGGACCATTCTCTAAAAACCCTAGAGATGGTTGTGCGTGAAAATCCCGGTAGATGAGTAGTTTTTTTTGAAATTCTCAGACCAGCCCGACTGGCACTAACAACCAAACCAAAGGTGCCAAAGGTGCTAAATGTTAACTTAAATCCCCTTTATTCCCTATTCTGATGCTCATTTTAAACTTCAGCAAGTCATCTTCACCACGTCTAGATGCCTAAATTCATTGAGTTGCTGCCATGTGATTGGCTGATTAGCAATTTGTGTTACCGAGCAATTGAACAGGTGTACCTAATACAGTGACCTGTGAGTGTAAATCTTTAAGCCCAATCTCTTTAAAAAATGGTCATAAAATACTTGAGTTTCCGTTGTAGAGCTGACTTCACATCTTTATTTTATTTTTCAGGCTGTAAATGAAAGGATTTAGCTTGGGAATCACAGCTGTGTTGAGCAAAGACAAAAATTTACTAGACTTAGTGGTGCTGATTGGGGTTAAGTATTGACAAACAAGACTTGCATAGTAAAGAGTAACAACAGTTAGGTGTGAGGAACAAGTGTAGAAAGCTTTAGATCTCCCTGTACTAGTCTTCATTCTCATTCTGGTGGCAATGATGAATGAGTAGGAGATGAAGGTGAGGAGAAATGGGGTAAAGGTTGAGAGTAAACCCCCCTGTGTGAACATCAACAGCTCTAAAATAGAAGTGTCACTGCAGGAAAGTTTCATCAGTCCTACAAGGTAACAGAAGAAATGGTTAATTTCATTGGAAACGTAGCATGAGAATCTTGAAAATATACCCATTGCGGGTAGAATTTGTAGAAGACTAAATGACCAACAGAATATGGCCAAACCAGCACAGACTCTACAATTCATGACAGTTGAATAATGAAATGGTTTGCAGATGGCAACAAAACGATCGTAGCTCATGATAGTAAGAAGGATTAACTCATTGCCGCATAACCATCCAAAGAAATAACCATCCAAAGAAATACACCTGTGCCATGCAGTCATGAAAGATACTACATTATCTCCTGTTACAAAGATAACAAGGATCCTGTGTACTGTTACAGTGGTAGAAGAAATGTTGACAACAGACAGATTACAAAGGAAGAAATACATTGGAGTGTTGAGCTGAGGATCCAGACAAACCAATAGAAGAATGGACATGTTGCCACCAAGAGATATGAGATAAATGAGAAGAACCAGGAAAAATATAGGAACCTGTAATTGGGGGTTATCCGAAAGCCCATTAAGAATGAAGAAGGTCAACATTGTCTCGTTTTTCTCATCATTTTTTAACTTTAAGAATTTAGCTAATCAGTAAATTACCTTCGGTAAACTATTAGCCAACCAGACGCGGAGTACACAACACGTTTACCAACCTTCTACTGACAGTCTGTCCATAGGTTAGATTTTGCAACACACTTGCGGACTAGGCATTAAACTGAAAAATGTAAAGAGCGCTAGGTATCAGTGTATACTACCAAAAAATACAACTTCAAAAAAACTTTTAAACAAGAAATATTTTTTCCGGATAAAGATCTACAAATATTGTGCTATCAAAAAAGCCAATGTGTCCATAAATGTCCACAACCAATAAACCAGCTATGGTGCCAGTAGGGATCTATGCAACACTCTTGAATGTGCTCCAAACATTGCTTGCAAAAAAGTGCTCTTCAAATAGTGATCTTCAGTGGTCCCACTCCTTTCCCTGAGACTCACCAAACCTTTAAACCAAGCAGTAAACAGGTCTATATGCGCTTGTGTACTGTTTCCAGGATCTGTATCTCCATCTTCCTCTATGTCCCCTTATATGCACTCATTAACTCAGGGATAAAAGGCCATAAACAGGATCATTGCACAACCAGTTTAATAGAAAAAAATGTATCACAGACAAAGAGGTAAAAAAACACTCACATGCTCTGTTGCCAAGACCGGCAAACCCAGCGAATCCCAGCAATGTATCAATCACCAGTAAGACTGCTGCCTCTATACCAACATGGAGAAGTGGCATGCATTCCACTGGCCACTGGAAGTGACATCAATGGCTATGTGACCTCGGCTCAATGTGTTTCACCGTCATCGGCATCTTCAGGAAGCTAATTTGCAGACTAGGGGCTTACGATTAATGAATCCTCTCCTCATTTACTCAATTCAACCCTGTGCCTAGCCAAGTCAAATGAAAATATATTTCACTGTCGAAGAAGAATAACACTTGATCTCTGTATCCTTATTTCATGTAATACAACATTTTGGTAAGTCACCCACAACAAATTATTGACTGACCTTTTGAAGAGCTTTTTTTACTCAACATCAGCTGGATCAACTGTGGGTATAGGATTATAACTTTTTTTTTTTTTTTTAAATGGTTGAACTGGATGGACTTTTGTCTTTTTTCAGCCAGACTAATTATGTAACTATTCTCAATGAAGAGATCTTTTCCTCACCCGTACACCATTTTGCAGAAACTGTGTTGTGCAGGCTTAATGTAGTATGTGGGCTTTTCTTTCTTATGAGGAAATAGGACGATGGTAAGAATTATTTTTAAATATCTGCTCTGTCTGCATTAGGGCACACCACCGTTAAACCATTCGAAGAACTTTTCTATCATTTGACCTGGATGTCATAATATTCATAGCAGGTGCATATAATATGGTACATGGTATGGTTATTAGCATGTATCTTCTTGGTACTGTGGATTATATGCCAACGATATGTACCCACACTACTCTGATCATTTATGTTAAGTTCTATCCATGATTAACCCCAGTGGGTGTCGGGGTGTGTGGCTTGGATGGAGCTATCCTGAGGCTGCTATTATCTGTGTGAAGGAAGGGCTTGCACAGTGTGCAGCGATTAATATATTTCCTTTGCCTTCACGTTCTATTGGCTTGTGTTTATAATTGCATGCCCATTGGTGGGACAATTGTTGGTTGGGAGAAGGGACTTTTCCTGGGTTGACATTTAATGGTTTCTTCCCTGTAAACCATGTTAAACTTTCAACAAAAATTTAAAAAAATATATTTTGCCCTGATATCTGGACATTAAGTCCTCATGCACACTAGACGTTTTTACAGCGGCTGTTTTTGGCTTTTGGAGATTTGCACCAGATTTTGTACTCTCCAGTTTTAGTAAATGAACCCCAATGTGTCTCTCTTGCCCCATCTCATATAGTTGGGAGCTATGTTTTATATATAGATAATGGAGCATTTAATACACTGCAAAGGATTTACAGAGCACTAGGGGATACCTAAAGAGACAGCAGAGCAGAAGCAGCCCACTTTGAGGCAGGGGTTGTCTCATTAACCACTTGAGCCCCAGAGGATTTACCCCCCTTAATGACCAGGCCTTTTTTTGCTGTTTGGCGCTGCACTAATTCAAATGATAATTGCGCGGTCATGCAATGCTGTACCCAAACGAAATTTACGTCCTTTTTTTCGGTATTTTATCACCTGTGCACTTTTTATTTTTTTGCGCTATAAACAAAAAAAATGAACAAAATTTTGAAAAAAAACAATATTTTCTACTTTCAGCTATAAAAAATATATCCTAAACTCAAAGTTAGTCATAAATTTAAGCCAAAATGTATTCTGCTACATGTTTTTGGTAAAAAAAAATCCTGTGCATTAGCGGGCAAACTCGTGCTATCTGGGAGGGGCGCTAACACTATCGGAAGTCACCAGTGACACTAATACAGTGATCAGTAAAAATCTGTTCACTGTAATCAATGACACTGGTGACAGGGCAGTGAAGGGGTTAACTGGGGGGGGCGATCAAGGGATTAAATAGGATTACTGGTGTACTGGCGGGCAAACTGGCGCTATCTGGGAGGGGCGCTAACACTATTGGAAGTCGCCAGCGACACTGATACAGTGATCAGTAAAAATCGGTTCACTGATCAATGACACTGGTGACAGGGCAGTGAAGGGGTTAACTCGGGGGGGCGATCAAGGGGTTAAATGGGATTACTGGTGTACTTAGCGGGCAAACTGGCGCTATCTGGGGGGCGCTAACACTATCGGAAGTCGCCAGCGACACTGATACAGTGATCAGTAAAAATCGGTTCACTGATCAGTGATCAGTGACACTGGTGACAGGGCAGTGAAGGGGTTAACTCGGGGGGGGGGGTGATCAGGGGGGTTAAATGGGGTCCTAGATGGGATTAACTGGGTATGTGCTGTTTTACTCACTGTTTGTATGTCTTCTCTGTCTAAACTGGCGCTCCTGGGAGGAAGGCGCATCAATCACTGTCCTGTGTAAGTCGCCAGCGACATAGGATACACAGGGATCAGATTTCAAAAATCACTGGCTGAAATCAGTTGATCACTGGTGACGGGGCATCATGAAGGGGTTCACCCGGGGTCGGCGGTGGCGATCAAGGGGTTTGCTGGTCCTCTCCCGATGTTCCATTCTGCTGTGGGCCATGAGGCTGATCCAACTGCGGCTGGACTCTAGTGGCCCAGACTCTGCCTGAGTTCCATTGGAGTAAGGGGGACCCCAGAAGCCACATCAGCTCTGCCTGAGACCACCACATCAGCTCTGCCTGAGACCACCCTGTCAGCTTTGTCTGAGACGCTGCCGGCTCTATCTGGACAGGACTAGGACATCAGCCCTGCGTGAGTGTATGCTTCTCCTGTGTTGTCTGACCTGTTTATGAACTGCCTCTTACCTCCCTGTTGGATTACAAAGTGCTGTAAGACTTTAACTTTGCCCTCCGGGGCTGAATTACAAAGTATTTTGGGCTCTCTCTGCACTACTCCCCATTCAGTGACTGTTGTCTGTTTTAATAAAGCTTTAAGTGTTTGCCATCTGCCTTGTGTGTTCCGTCCCCCCCCCCATCACACGTAAACAAGGAGACAGTCAAGTCTTTAACTGAAGGCTTTACAAACGGTTTCCAGTTCCTGTATTTTCCCGGATCAGGTTGTATTTTATTCTGCAATTTGAAGGGATCCAGTTTTCACAATTTCCACATATAGTTAGGGAAAAATTAAACAAAGAACTTTAGAAAGGCCGTATGGCCGGACCCATTCAAATCCACCTTTTTCATGATCACTTTGTCTCCACCTGTTGCTGTGCCCGTCTGAGACCTTCTTCCTTTTCTTTCCTCTCTTCCTTCAATATCTTTACATCTGGTGTCTCCCCCCCTCCCCCTTTTCCTCCCCCCCCCCTTTTTTCTCCTCTCTCCTTTTCTTTTCCCTCTTGGGTGTATTTTCTTGGTTTTTACTGTCTCATTATTGTTGAATATCGCCTGTCTGAGGATGCCCCCCTTGTATCTATGTTTGGATTCATCTTCCTTCATCCCCATGGATCATACTGATACCTATGTGACTGTTGTCTGTTTTTTAAAGCCATTCCATTGTCGATGTTCTTATTGCCTTTATATTGGACATTTCCGTCATCACATTGCAGTGTCAGTGGGCGGGGCGGTGTCAGTGGGCGGGGACGGTGGTCCTTGGTGGGAGGAGATTGGACATTTGTGTACATCACATTTCTCTTTCACTTTCCTTCTTCTCTACATTGCATTGAGCTATCCTGAGCACACTCCTAGACCCGGGAAAAATACCGGCAACTGGTGTTCAGGTACTGTTTTAATTAACATCAGCACTGAGTTCATTTTCCTATTGGACAGAGAGCCAAAATCATCCAATCAGCACACAGTTCCGCCCTCCTTACACAGAGTCCACTCACCGTGTGACTCTTCCCGAGCTGTGTGAGGTGGACGGAGCTGAGTTTTGGGGTCTCTGTGAGGAGGAAGAAAGTGATCCCCCTCATCCTGATTCTATTCCTCGGGGTCCTTCAATATCTGTATGGGGGTGAGTCTGGGGGGGGAGGGGCTGTTTTTATAAATATGATGTCATATATTTCCTGATACTAGGAGAATGTTATTTTAGTGATGTCACACACCTGTACGGATATCTCCTGTATATGGGGAGCGGTGATGTCACACCTGTCGGATATCCCCCTGTATATGGAGAGTGGTGATGTCACACCTGTTCAGATATCCCCTGTATATGGATGGTGTCTCACACCTGTACGGATATCTCCTGTATATGGAGAGTGGTGATGTCACACCTGTACAGATATTTCCTGTATATGGGGAGCGGTGATGTCACACCTGTACGGATATCTCCTGTATATGGGGGAGTGGTGATGTCACACCTGTACGGATATCTCCTGTATTGGAGAGTGGTGATGTCACACCTGTACGGATATCTCCTGTATATGGAGAGTGGGGATGTCACACCTGTACGGATATCTCCTGTGGGGGAGTG